GATTGCAATTTCAAAGTCAGCCTTAGCAACTTATCAAGGCCCTAAGCAACTTAGTGAGAAAAAAGAGAGAGAAAAAAATATATATGTATTTTATATATGTATAAAAGGTCTGGGGATGTGGCTCAGTGGTTAAGTGACCTTGGGTTCAATCCCCAGTACAAAAAAAAAAGAAACTAAAGGCCAGGTGTGGTGGTACATGCCTGTAATCCCAGCAGCTCAGGAGGCTGAGGCAGGAGGATGGAGAGTTCAAAGCCAGCCTCAGCAAAAGAGAGGTGCTAAGCACTCAGTGAGACACTGTCTCTAAATAAAATACCAAGTAGGACTGGGGATGTGGCTCAGTGGTCAAATGCCCCTGAGTTCAATCCCCAGTATCCTCTCCCCCCAAATCAAGTACCCATGAGCATCCTATGTGATCCTTCATTGTTCCACATCTTCGTCCACACTTAATATTGCAATTCATTTTAATTTTAGCCATTCTTATTGGGGTGTGTGGGATTTTATTGTCATATCAATAGTGATGATCATTTTTTCATGTGCTAACTGGCCATTTGTATATACTTTTTAGTGCAATGTTTGTTAAAATTTTCCCCTTATTTTTGGATACCCTTACTGAGTTTTAACAGTTCTTTATATATTTTCTGGATAGAAATCCTTTATAAAACACTTGTATTGTGAATTTTTTTTAATCAGTCTGTAGTTTTAAAGTCTTTTTCTATTTCCTTCTAGAAGTTCTAGAATTTTTATCAGCATATTTCAGGTTTATGATTTAATTATCATATATAAGGTTTGAGTTCATTTCCCTTGTGGACATTTAGCTGTTTCAGCACCAGTAGTTGAAATAACTGTATTTTCCCCACCAAATTACCTTGGAACCTTTGTTAAAAATCAACTGACCATATATGTATGGGTCTATTTCTGAACACTATTATTTTACTGATCTTTATGACCATTCCAAAGGCAACAGCATTCTGTAGCTTTATAGGTATTCTTAAGTCCCTTCTCAAAATTGTTTTGACTGTATTCCTTTGTACCTCCATAAAAATTTTGTCAACCTGTCTGTATCTACAAAAAAAAAAAAAAATAAAATTAGTGGTCATCTTTTCCAATGCTTAAATATTTCACTGGTTTCCTGTGCATTAAGAGAAACCCCTCACCCTGACCCACAAAGTCCAGGGTGGCCAGCCTCTGCCGCCGCCTTTCTGGCTTCACCACTACCCATTTGCTTATTGAGCTCTTTTCTTTACTGAGACTTTCTTTTAGATCCTCTGCTTCTTCAGACAGGTTTTCTTGTCACCTGTCTAAACCAGAAACTGCGTACAATCTTTTACTTTTCCTCAACAGTCTTTTTTTTTTTTAATATTTATTTTTTAGTTTTTGGCAGACACAACATCTTTGTTTGTATGTGGTGCTGAGGATTGAAGCCCAGCTGCACGCATGCCAGGCAAGCGCGCTACCACTTGAGCCACATCCCCAGCCCTCCTCAACAGTCTTTAGTGTTTATAAAATGATGTATCTGTTTGTGCGCTTGTTTACTGGAAGGTAGGAAGCATATCTATTCATTGCTATGATTGATAATGTTCCGTGTACTTGATGGCACAGAGATAGAGCTCTCGATATTTCTTAGTTAAATGAATAAAGGCAGATATGTCTTTATGGACATTTTATTAGGGCAAAACAATATATATTTGCATGGGATGATTCTTAAGTCATCTCAAATAGTTCCCCTTTAGATCTTAACATGCACTCTCAAAATTGATACACCACCCTAACTCATTATTTATAACTTCACAGTCATACAATAAAAAATAAAAATAAAAAATCATCATCTGGCAAAAAGGCAGGGTATGGAAGAGTGACATTTTAACACATTACTAAAATTTTAAAAAATTTTATTTACACTTCCCCTTCTTTTCCTTTCCCAGACTATATGAACATTACAGCAAAGGAAAGGGGTCATCACAGCACACCTTGTGAATTCCAGTTTACAAGTAACTTGGTCAGTGGAAACACATGGACCAATGAATAAGATCTCGGCCTCCCATCAGCATTTCCTCTTCTCTTTCCCCCTTCCCTTACTGTTAGCTGCCTTTGTCAGAGAGGGATCATCAAGATGGTGGGGGGGGGGGGGCTGTTGGCTGAACTGACAGGGCGATTCCCAGTGTCCTGTAAAGAGCCAGCAAGGAAGCTCTTAGGATTCTAACCAAAGTAACAACACTACGAATGAAGACAAGCCGCCACTCCACCCTGGTCAGTGGTATGGCCCCTACTTTCCAGGAAGTTTTAGGCCAAGCAACCAAGTTTTGCATAAGAAACATGGAAACTGAGTTGGAAAAAGCAAACTTTGAGCTGGCTCAAGTCTCCTTGTGGACGGACCCACTCACCACGTCCACGGCAACAAAGCAGATGCTGAGAAAGCACGATGTCAGGGTGCTGCCCTGGTTTGTAGCTTTCATTCAACCCCCTCACCACTGCCTCAGAAGAACAGAGCTTTGGGTATTGCTTCATTAAGAACACAGCGTAGGAGCCATTGAATTCTTTAGGGTCAGTTTAATATAACTCATCATACCAAAAAGAATAACAGCTTAAGGCCATTTATCATGTATGCTACCCAGTAAACAAAACCTATCCACAGCTCCTGGCACCACAGTGGACTGGGAATGGGATATCTCCAGACCCTGCAGGGAAGACGAGAATGACCATTTTAACGAGGGAAGCAAACTAGTCCCCCTTTTTTCCTTCCCTAGAAAAGACTCCATAGCAAAAAGCTGCTTGGAAAACAGAAGTCACTGGAAATGACAAAGGAACAGCAGCATTTTGTATACAAGTAAAGCCAGGGGATCACTGGCAAGCCCTAGTGTTTCTCCTGTGTGAGGCGGAAGCCAGCCCTCTAAGTCAGTTCTCTGGCTAGACACACAGCAACTGGCTAGGAGCCCGACACACATTTCATGTGAGCAAAGCGGAGGAGAGGAAGGGACACGCTTTTCTCCACATGGAAGGTACTTTGGTACCTGGCTGAATGGACTGAGATGCCTGCTGCATACTGAGCTTCTGTGTTAAGCAGGTAGCAGCACACCTACAGGTTCTGGGGCCAGGAAAATAAACGGATTAGCACTCCCACCCTGAAAAAACAAACAAATCTATAGATAGATTCTTAGCTAGGCAGCCAAGAAGAGTCCTAGATTTTCATACTACTTTTACCACATTCCACAACCCCTTTGGGCTAAGTTGACTCCATACCCGTGTGAAATGCTCACCAATTTCTGATCTCTGTTGAGTATAGGCACTGAGAAAAGAAAAAACACTGCTGTCCCTCTTGTTCTAACCACACAGTTGAAGCAAACAGAATAAAATCCATTGTGGCTTATCTAGAACATCAGGAGAGAAAAGGGACCCTAAAGTCAGGTCTTAACAATTTCCTATACAAGAGAACAATTGCATTTAGCCATTTTTAGGTGGGTTTGGCACAAGACTGCAACTCTTTACAAAATAAGAATTAGCCAGGGTCTCTCTCTGCTGCCATGCTGTGACCAGCAATTCTACACTGTTCCAATCCAGTATTTGGGGGGACCAGAAATCCTCCCTGATTTAGAAAAGAGAGAACAGGGAGGTCGTGGTAGATCATCATTTCCCCTTTCCCCTGTGAAGTCAGAAATCTCTCCAAGTAAGCTACTCTGCCTGGTTTTCACTAATAGGTGGGAAGCAAAGGGTATCACACACTGACAGTTCAGCTGGACCACATCAGCTGTGAGAAACTTAGATACAGGACCCCTTAATTAAGGAGGGATGGAATAGTCCCCTGCCTCCTCTTGAAACATAAGGCTGAGTGTACAAGGAGGACCAGGGTGTCTGAGCTATTGAGCCCAAGCCCAGCACCACCATATATATCAGTTTCTCTGGAGCTAGAATTGTTTAAAAAAAAAAAAAAAAAGAAATAAAAAAGAAATCAAGAACTGGAAGATACAGAAAGAAAGGCAGGCCAAATGAAGAGAAGGATTATAGAGACAACTCAGTAGGAAAATGTTCCATTCCTTGGCCTCTGAATGGGAGTGGGGCAAGCCGTGTAAGAGTTTCCTGTCCACCTTCTGTGTCCACTTGAGGAAGACGCTGATTTTCACTGTTTGAAATCTTCCCCCAATGAGTTTAAGATAGTGACTAAGTGGCTGGATTCTTCAAACAAGCAGTATTGAGGAGTTCTGAGGACTAGAATCTGTTTTTAAAAGGGATTTTCTTTTTTAATCTAAAGCAAAAAAAAAAGATTTTAAAGTGCTCAAAAGAAAAAAAAAAGTGCTTCAAATTCCTTGTCACCTGCTAGGATAAAGCTTTTAAAATAAAGATGGGAGGGTGGAGGATGGGAAAGGCAGCGGAGCACAACAGACACTAGTATGGCAATTTGTAAATCAATGGATGTGTAACTGATGTGATTCTGCAATCTGTGTATGGGGTGAAGGTGGGAGTTCATAACCCACTTGAATCAAAGTGTGGAATATGATATGTCAAGAAATTTGTAATGTTTTGAACAACCCACAATAAAAAATTAAAAAAATAAAAATAAAAAAAAATAAAGATGGGAGAGCTGGACACAGTAGAGCACACCCATAATCCCAGTCACTTGGGGAGGCACAGGTGGGAGTGTCACAAGTTTAAAGCCAGCCTCAGCAAATTAGTGAGATCCTAACCAACTTAGTGAGACCCTGTCTCAAAATAAAAAGTAAAAAAGAATAGGGGTGTGGCTCAGTGGTTGAATGCCCTTGGGTTAAAAAAAAAAAAAAAAGAGTTAGGAGAAACTGCTACTTAGGCCATTATTTGTATGTGATTTTGTGTCTCCTAGCTGTACACTTCCTGGTTTCTGATATGATCATATGAATAACTCTACACCTGAAATGAATAAAGTCAATGCAACAAAGAAGGGCAAGAAAAAGTATTAGTCCAACCTCTATCAACTGACTCACATCACCAGTTTTGGTAGGAATGGTTAACTGCAACCTATTTGAAGTACAATATTTTTTTTTTCTGTGTGTGTGTGGTATTAGAGTTTGAATCCGGGGCATTTACCACTGAGACAGACCCCCAGCCCCTTAATTTTTTTTTTTTTTTTGAGAGGGTCTTGCTAATTGTCCGCGCTGATCTTAAACTTGGAATCCTTACACCTCAGCCTCCCAAGTAGCTTGGATTATAGGCATGTGCTACCATGGCCAGTTTCAATCCCACCAGATTCTTGCATCAGGCCATGTCAAATTGTACTAAACAATATTTGCTTATCCCAGATTTGTGATCATTCTCAATGAGTATGACTGTATTTATATACCCTTGTACTTCCCCAAGAAGTTGGATAATTAATGATATGTAGGATATAACTGGACCCCCCAAATTTATATTACAATTAAGTAGAGACAACCAGCCACATGCAATATACATATAACATTTTGTCCTCTACAAAGTACAAAGATCCTGGATAGATCACAGGAATTTTGTCTCTTCAAAATAAACTCTTAATTACATTTATCCTGAAACAACTTCTCATCAACAAAGTGACATGTGTGTTTATAATTTTAAATGCCCATACTGACATTTTAATTTGCAGTAACTTTGTGCAAGCCAAAATAAAAAAAAAGACTAGCGGATAAGTTCATTGATTAAAGTTTGTGACTTCTGCAAACCCTACACCTACATCTTTAATTAGTAACTGCAATGCAAAAGCTATCTGGTATTGCAGACCAATTCTAGAGTGGGGAATTAGATGCGCAGCAAAGGTTAGCAATGTACTTAATTTTACAGGCAAGTTATTTTAGTCACCGTAGTCTTTCTTTTACTTTAACTTGGACATGCTAAATATATTCCCTGCATCTCTCCTTAGTTCTTTTATTCACCCTTGTCTGTTTTCTAAAAAAAGTGATATAAAACTTTGGAATATCGCAAGGGCTTAAAGCTCTCAGACACTGAATGACCAAAGATAACTTACACTTGGGACATGAAAACAAAACTGCACAAACGACGACGTTGCTGATATCTTCCACCACGTGCATCTGCACAACATGCCACAGCTGATGGGGAGACACAGGATGTGGACTGGGAATCTTTACTAATAAAAGGAGCAATTTCAAAATCAGATCTGCAAAACAACTATCATCCACTGTTTTTTCATTCTGTTCCCAATCCTTCTCCTATAATACTTGATGGCTACTAAAAGATAAACTGATTTTGGGTACAATAAAGCCAAATGTTCTCTTCACTTGAGCTTTGGTTGAAGAAAAATTAAAAACTTTAAAATGGTGATTCTCAGGTATGTTCTTTGGTCAAGCAGTATAAAGCTTTCTGAAAGAAGTTCCCTTACCTGGTTACAGTATGAAAACAGTCAAAATAGGGGATATTCCAGTTTAGGAAATAGATCAGATTCCTATTAGAATTTCTCAGAAATATAATAGATCTGATTTCCTATTAGAATTTCTCAGAAAAAAGAAAATTCTATACAATGGAAGCACAGGGAAAATCTAGCTCCATAAGCCAGGTTAAAATTGTTTGAGGACATCAAAAATAAAAGAACTAGAATTCAAAAGAGTAATTTTAAGTGGGTCAGCTTCTAAAAGGGTTAAATTAATAACTTTAATCCTGAAATAGAAACATGATAAATGATTTCTGAGCAAGGATTGACCAACATTTTCCTATATCAGTTTAAATCCTAATCTGGTCCCAGGCCCAGTCAGAGGCTGTCATGATTTTGAAAAGTAGAAAGGAGGCAGAAACCCAACCACAACCATCCTGGAGGTACCAACTCTTGCCACACCACCTGCCAGCAGAGCCTTCACCATGGAGCAGCCTCATTCACAACATGGTGATCAGTGAGGAGGAGTCCATCACCTTCATCAGACAGGCCTGACTAGGCAGGAATTGGGCCTCCAAAATGATGTGTGTTTTCAGTAAGAGGTGGGAGATGTCAGGGTTAGAGTTTGAAAGCACGAAAAAGCACTTAGAATTTGGACACACTCTCAGACTGTGACCATATGAAGAAATATTAGATAAAGAAAAAAAATCATCTGGTAACCAGAACAAAAAATGGAATAAGATCAAGGTCTTCGGAGCCCCCCACCAGTTACACAGTTGGCACTATCATCGTTTACTGTTTTTCTTAAAAGGCTAAACTTATGAATAAAGTTATGACTTTGGTTGATTACTTGACCAGTTAAATAAGGATTTCAAGGTGGGCAGCCTCAAAGACCTGGAGGGAAAAATGTGGAAGGCACTTGCTCCCAGGGGGAGGAGGGCCGGGGGAGTCTCTTGGCTGGAGAGCCAGGGCCAGCAGCAAACCTTGCTGGACCCAAGCCTGCAAAGTGCTAGAGAGGGCAAAGCCTGGGTGGTTAGCCAGACAGGCAAGAGCCAGCATGACTTCACAAGTAGAAGAGCTATAAAATAAAACATGTTTTTAATGGACAAAGTGAATCACTTTTTTTTTTTTTAAGGTGGTTTTTAGCAAAGAAAGGATGTGAAGCAGTTTTTGTTTTTACTATTTACAAAATGCCACTTAGAGCAGAGGTGGCCACCTTCAGTAGTTGAGGAAATGTCTTTCATGTGAGATGGCCACAGAAGTGTGGTTCCTGGAACTGGCTCAGAAAGGCCACACTGTCCTTGGTGAGAGAGTTCTTCTAGGGAGCACCAGAAAGGCTCAGTCTTCTGTCTCCTCATATGTGGTCTCATCAAAGGGCCTGTCCAGTAGAGGCACCAGCCGGTGGCGGGAATACTTCAGCTGCAGCAGGTCCCCAACTTCATCTATCTCCTTTAAAGCCTAAGACACAGCAGATGAGGCAGACGTCAGTCAGGGACAGCAGGACGCAGGCACGCTTGATGGTTTACTGGGCCCAAAACAATGATGGTAAGGTTGGTGTGTCCAGTGCATTCACTCAAACCAGACCACACACAGCTATGGGAAGAGCTGCTTTTGAACAAGGCCTCAGGCTGACCAGAAATAATGACTTGTGAATAGCTGGTATGCAGGATAAAGGTTATATGTGTATACATGTAACGGCTAGGATATGCTCGGTAGGAAAGGAAATACACTGGCTGACTGTGACTTCCCAAATTCTGTGACACTGCGTAAACCTGCTTAATCTTGTTGCTACAATTTTGTATGACAATGTATACCTTATATTTCAGAGCTGATTATTAGTAAGAAGACACATTCATCTGTTCTCAAACTTAATTTTTAAAAATCAGTATTTTGAGAGAGAAAAAGGACATCAATAGCATTCCTTATGTATTTCAGCAGAAGAAAAAAATATGAAAAATATAAAAAACAAATAAGAGCTGGGCTTCAATATGTTATCAGGACAGTGGTACCTCTGAGAAGAGATTTAAATGAAACTCACAGGGAAGCAATTTAAGCTTAAATTTCAGCTGGGAGAAACCATTAACCACTGAACCCTTGACCTCTGACATAGGATTTATTAATTTAAAACAAAAATTCATAGGATTTACTAATAACACAAAGGAAAAGGGCATTTAGAAACTCTGACTTCAGAAGAATCTTTCTTCCTTAATGTAAAAAGGAAAAAGATTAGCAACAGAAACCATCCAAACAAACCCACAGTAGTCCAAGTAGATCTAGATGATAAGATTCCTTCTGAGACAAGGACTTTCAGTATGTTGCCCCAGCTAGGCCCAAGCAATCCTCCTACCTCAGCCTCCCAAGTCATTGGAATTACAGGCATGGACCACTACACCCAGTAGAATAAATTCTTTTTTTGGGGGGGAGGGGGGTTTACTGGGGATTGAACCCATGGGCCCTCAACCACTGAGCAACATCCCAGTCCAATTCTTTTTTTTTTTTTAAATATTCTATTTAGAGACAAGGTCTCCCTGAATTATTTAGAGCTTTGTTAAGATGTTGAGACTAGCTTTGAACTTGCTATCTTCCTGCCTCAGCCTCCTGAGGTGCTGGGATTATAGGTGTGAGCCACCATACCTGGCAGAATAAACTCTTAATTGTAGAAATTCTGCTGTGTAGAAATAGGAAGTAAAAAGTCTTCCGCTGTTTAGAAATACAAAATGTCAATCAAATTATTATAATAAACTTCTAAAAGTATAAAAACTCTTTTTTAAATATATATATATATATATATTTTTTTTTTTTAGTTTTTTTTGGTGGACACAACATCCTTGTTTGTATGTGGTGCTGAGGATCGAACCCGGGCGGCACGCATGCCAGGCGAACGCGCTACCGCTTGAGCCACATCCCCAGCCCAGTATAAAAACTCTTGCCGGGCATGATGGCGCATGCCTGTAATCCCAGCAGCTCTGGAGGCTGAGGCAGGAGGATTGAGTTCAGAGCCAGCCTCAGCAAGAGCGAGGCACTAAGCAACTCAGTGAGACACTATCTCTATATAAAATACACAATATGGCTGGGAATGAGGCTCAGTAGTTGAGTGCCTCTGAGTTCAATCCTGGTAACGCCCCCCCCCCTTACAAAAAATATATAAAAACTCTTTGGGATTATTATCAGATCTCAAACCAATTAATAAATATTTCTTTTTTTTTTAACTTTTATTTTTTAGTGGTGGATGGACACAATACCTTTATTTTTTTATTTTTACGTGGTGCTGAGGATCAAATCCAGTGCCTCATTCATGCTAGGCAAACGCTCTACCTCTGAGCCACAACCCCAGCCCCGAATTAATATTTCCAGCAATTTTTTTTTTTTTTTCAGATGTCACATTCTAAAGTTTTATGAACTTGCACAAAGCATACCTTTTCAGCGGCAGGGGGGTGGAGAGTGGGGATAGAAGCCAGGGCTTGTGCATGTTAAGCATGTGTTCTACCACTAAGCTATACCCTCAGTTCAGAAAACAAAACTTTACAATTTAAGGACTGGGGTTGTAACTCGATGACACAGTGCTTGCCTAGCACATGAGGTCCTGGATTCAATCCTCAGCATCACATAAAAATAAATAAATAAGGCCTGGGGATATAGCTCAGTAGAGTGCTTGCCTTGCATGCACAAAGCCCTGGGTTCAATCCCCAGCACCACATACATATATACATAAATAAATAAATGAAGTTTAAAAAACTTGAAGACTGAAATCTTAGATATGAAACAACAGCATATCAAGAGGCAATATCAAGAGATGAGAATAAACTGAAATCATAAATAATTAAATTCAGTAATAGTTATGAGCCCCAACTATACTTGGCACTGTGACAGGTGCTGAACATATAAAATGAGACTTAGCTCCTAACTTTCAGATTTATGTATGGGAAGGCTGGAATCTAGCTCAGTGGTAGAGGATTTGCCTAGCCCATCCTGCATGAGGCCCTGGGTTTGATCCCCAGAAACACAAAAATAAAAGTCTTATTTATCAAGAGGAAAAGACCTGAGCAAGTTTCCTTTAAGTGGAAATATACAGAATGAGTTGCACTCAGCCAATCAAGGAGGAGAAAAAGCTTAAGATAGAAAATTCTACATACATGACAATAACCAGAAAGCTTGGAACAGAGACAGACAGGAGGAAAGGAACTGCACAACTGTGGAGTCCATAGAGACAGAATGCTATGATGAATCTGGAAAATTCTCCAGAGTTTGGTTGACACTGGATCTGGTGTGATGCTACACACTTGGTAGTTCTCTTGTAAATGGCAGTTTTAAGTAGCATTGGGCACCACTGCTGTCTTAGGTACTCAGAAAACATTCGGATCAACAAATGATTGGTTTCATGTATGTGATACATGGGTTCTTTTAGTATAAGGCATGTTTACACCAAGATGAAAGTGTCCACTTACCGTATCAAGTATTTCTTTGGTATGAGCTGCTGACAGGCAAAACCTGGCTCTGGACTCAATAATTGGGGTAGCAGGAAATCCTACCACAACTACACCAATGTTTCGCTTTAGCATCTCTCGTCCAAAGGCGCTACAAAGGGGAAAATGAGGAAAAGAAATGAAGAACAGTATAAAGCAAAGGTCTTGCTGTCTGGAATGATTTAAACTCTAGTGATGTAGACATCACTTCCTCTAACTTCTTCTAAAGTTAAAACTGACAATTCACAACTCGTTTATTCAATCCTAAGGTGGTGGTCTTCTGTATGATTTCCTTCACAAGGTAAAAGAATATAATTGGCAGAGACCAGTGTAACAGGGTTTGCCTAAAGAGATTTATAATTACAGTCTTAAAAAAAAGTACCCTTGTTATTAACAGTGGTTCAAGGGCTTCAAAATAAACTTGCATTAAAAACCTGGTCCTTAAAATGTTAAGCTTGGGGGGTGCACGGGGAGACAGGAGGAACTCTGATTGGGCAAATGGGAGGGAGGGAAGGGGAGGGGGCACGGGGGTATGAAAGATGGTGGAATGAGATGAACATCATTACCCTAGGTACATGTATGACTGCACATGTGATGCAACTCTACACTGTGCACAACCAGAGAAATGGAAAGTAGCATTCTGCTACTATGTATAACTAATTAGAACAAATAAAAAAATGTTAAGCTTGGCAGTTTCAATAGTCTTAAGGTTATGGAGATAGACAGGACTGGCTATAACATGACACAGATCTGCTGGCAGAGTGACCAATCGGCAAGCGGCCTCTAGTTTCTGTCAGGTAGCTGGCCAGTGGCTTTGGCTAATTGCTCGCACTACCTCTCACTCCAAGTCAGCTGTCCTATGGCCTTACTCCACATCTGAATCTTGACTAAATAACATATCCTAATTTTCACTTAATTTTGTTTATTAAATTATGCTGTTCTGTTTTTCCCTCATTGACCTACCTTATTTCTATTTTACTTTTCCATTAATTTTTTTCACAATACTTGTTTGAGAAAAATATCCTGCACATCTGGCAATACATCAGTGCCAGTCTTTTCCTACTCTCTAACACCTGCATAGCTTTCTCCATGCTCCCAGGTCAGATGAGCCCGAGCTCCCCGTATCTGTTGATCACGCTCCCTAACTGTCCAGCACATCACCCCAGTTCTCCTCCACCCTCTTCAGTTTCACCTGTGCAGACAGATGAGGCACAGTCCTCTCTAAACAAAGGGTTCTAGATTGAGTCCTTCAGATATGATAGCTCAAGTATACCTGTGATAATTCCACTGGGAGAAGATTCCCTAACACTCTCTTTGTAGGACATAATGCCAACTCCCTCTAATTCTGTACTGAAACCTGCACTCTTCTTTTCCCCTTAGTAAGCATCTCTTCCCAACTTCTCTCTCATAGTCTTTGGGATCATCATTCTTCTAGGCTCCCCAATTAATTTTTCTCTCTTATATTCACTTCAATAAACATTTACTGAGTGCCTTCTGAGTGTTGGAGACTGAGGTGGATACTGGGGATTCAAAGATAAACATAAATATTTGCTCCCTTAATGAATTTAAGCAAATGGGAGAAATGATCCTTATTCTAATTTTATACTAAAAATCTGGATCAAAACTCACCCATTCAAAAAGATATACCTTTAGTGCTTGGGAGGCTGAGGTAGGAGGATTACTTGAGCCCAGGAGTTCAAGACCAACCTGGACAACACAGCAAAACCCTGCCTCAAAAAACAACCCCACTCTCCCACCCGGGGTTGTGGCTCAGTGGTAGAGTGCTTGCCTAGCATGCGTGAGGCACTGGGTTTGATTCCCGACATCACATAAAAATAAACAAATAAAATAAAAGCTATTATGTCCATCTACAACTAAAAAAGAAAAAATAATTAAAACAAACAAAAACAATCCCCCATCAAAAAGAAAAACACATCAAAACAAGGTACCTTTTTTATGGAACCCATACTAAGCAGATCACTCCTTTATTCTACAGCTCCAGTGTAATTTTGCATACAACTGTTCGATATAATTATTCAATGTAATTATTGTTCATTTGCTTTTCAAATGTCTTCTAGTTTCATTGTACATCTGGACTTCTCAAATACAAAGAAAGCTGTCCCAGGTTGAGGGCTTCCATTATGTACATCTCACACAAACCAAAGCAGCTGGGGTAATCAGCACACCTGGTAAATATCCAATAACATGCTCCGCTCGACCTTTCTGACCTCATGGCCCACTGCTCCCCCTTGGGCGCTGTCCTCCAGCTCCAGTGACCACTTGGCTATTCTTCAACCGACTAAGCATGTCCCTGCATGTGGCCTCTGTACAGACTGTTCCTCTTTGCTCAGATTTCATCTTCCCTTCCCACCGAGGCTTTCCCTGTCCCCTATTTAATGCTATTTCTGCACACCTACCAGGTCCTCTCAATCCCCATATGTAGCCTGCATTATTCTTTTTTCGATACACGTAATACCTTTGAGCACACATAGTGTAATATCTTCTAATTACTACATTTGTCTGACTGTTGCCCCACTAGAAAGTAAGCTCCACAAACAAGGACAGAGATGTTTTGTGTTTTGTTCACACATCCATCCTAAGCACCTGGAAGACAGCGTTAAACTTGGATATTTGTTTAATGAAATGATAATAAGTTTACACATCTTGCAATTTAGATCCACTATGTCAACTATGGCCTAACTAACAAATGGACACAGTGGAGAAAAGATAATTTTTCTAACTATAAGCCCTAGTCTTTTATCACAGGTGCCTTAAGTCTAATGAAGGACCACTGAGTGACCTGCAATAAAACATACCCAATTTTGGCTGGCATGTAGAGCATCAAAGGCACCACTGGAGAATCTTCATTTCCATAGATGATGAAGCCCATCTCCTTCAGTCGTCTCCTGAAATACCTAGTGTTCTCGGCTAACTGCTGCACACATTCTTTGCCTGGAAAATTGTGGGAGAGAAAACAAAATGAAAAAGGAGGATGAAAAAAATACAGCAGTCTCTTCCTATCGCCATTCTATCTAAATAGGCCTATGCTTGTTTCTTCCATTTCAACATCATTTTTTTGCATGATAAACTATGTGAAATGTAATAAATATACCTCACTTTGCAATCTATCATTCTTACTGTTGATAGTAGTTTTTACATAACATGGAAAAATAAAGTTTAATGTCAAAAGTTTCCATGACATATTAGCATCCCCAAAGAATGTTGTTTTTCTGCAATTCAGCACTCCACACATCCTTGACAGTAAGTAGGATGTTTATTATCTTCATTTTAGAAGTTATAAGAGTCTCAGGTAACTTGCCCACATCACCCAGTAGCAGTAAAAGGCACAGCTGACACTAGAATCTAGAACTTCCAATTTCAATACTCATTCCAACTAATTATGTTTAAATCATTTTACACATAAGTCCACAGGTAAAGCCACTTAGACCTCAAATTTTTCTCTTAACCATTTCATTTCACATTGTTTAAAACTCTAATCAGACAACAACAGTCTATATGTCATAAAGTAAAATCATATTTTAAATCTGATTTTACTCATCTTCCTAAAATACAAATAGATCAAAACACATTTCTTTAATTATTCTTTAATTTAACTGACTAAATATCTGGCCAAGTGTTGACACTAAGGTTGGCCCATCTATGAAATGTTCAAATAATTGTTCTGTTTTTAATAAATCAAAAAAATTAGTTTACAAAGGGTTAAAAATGTTTAATGGTCTTTTCAACCGTAAATAATTGTGAATAAGAAAAATTTGCAGTAATTTTCTCACATATATCGAAGCATAATCAAGCAATCAAATGTACAGATGGTTAAAAAAAAGTGTCCTTAGAAGTAGGATACTGATGGGGTTGGGGTTGTAGCTCAGTGGTAGAGTGCTTGCCTCGCATGCATGAGGCACTGGGTTCAATTCTCAGCACCACATATAAACAAATAAATAAATAAAGCTCCATTAATAACTAATAAAATATTAAAAAAAAAGAAGTAGGATACTGATGGAGCTGGGGATGTGGCACAGTGGTGGAGCATTTTCACAGCATGTATAAGGCCATGGGTTCAATCCCCATCACCAAAAAAAAAAAAAAAAAAAGAGAGAGAGAGAGAGAATATTAACATATTCATTATTCATGCAAAGCTATGCTAGATAATTTGGCCCAAAATAACCCAGAATTAATATTCCTTATGTACAAGTTCATCAGAGAAAAACAGTCAATCTTTGATTAGACTAGTTACCATGAACACCAAGGAACAACACTTACGTTAGGTCCTATGTCTTACAAAGAGCAGACACTAAAGTGTGTCAGATTTAAGTATGTTGACAACTGATGAGCCAAGTACCCTATTTTCTCTGAGGTACTATCAATACATGCTTTACTTTTATAGGAGACTCCCACTTCCTGTCATTACAGCATCCTAGGGATCAAATTCACCTACTATAAACAGCAGAAGACTGGACAAAAAATACAGCACAGTGGTTTTTAGACACTCAACACAGGGAGTGCAGGACTATGCTGCCTGGGAGAAGGGAAACCAAGCTAAACCTTCAGGTTGCTCTGTGCTTCCTGGAGGCAGGTACTAGATTGATGCACAGAGAAGGGGAACCTAGTTTTGTCAGTTGAGGACAGTTGGGTTTGGAGTGGAGAGTTGTCAGTTGTGATTAGAATTGGGGAGGCCAAGGTGGCTAGACTATCTTGGGTGTACAGGAGGAGGAATGTACAGAGTGCACATGGGGATCTACAGGGGGCAGTCTCCTTGAGTCCTGGGAAGGGTATTGATTGATAGGCATACACAAGAAGAAAACTATCAGGGCTGGCATTATAGGTCAGTGGTAGAGCGCTTGCCTAGCACATGAGAGGCACTGGGTTCAACCTGCAGCACCACATAAAAATAAATAAAGGTATTGTGTCTATCTACAACTAAACAAAATATTAAAGAGAGAGAGAGAGAAACTATCAGATGCTGGGGAAAGAAAGGTCCACCAGAAAAGAGCACTCACACAGAGCTTTTTTATTTTTTTTTATTTTTACCCATCAAAATGGGAGAATCTTACAACACATCTAACAGAGTCCTCAGAAGAGCATCACCTTAGAAATGGAACTAAATTAGCCCTGGACTAAAAATTGGTCTTGACCCACTGTAACAATACTTAAAAGCAAGTCTTGAAAGGATCCAAGAAAAAAAGTCCAAAATTACCTAAAGGAATACAATAAAATACAGCACACGACAGTATAAAATTTACTATGTCCAACACATAAAAGAAAATTGCAGGGGCTGAGATTGTGGCTCATCAGTAGAGCGCTCTCCTAGCACGTGTGAGGCTCTGGGTTCGATTCTCAGCACCACATAAAAATAAATTAATAAAAAATAGGTACTGTGTCCAACAACAACAACAAAATAAAATTGCAGGCATTCAAATAAACAGGAAATGTGACCTTATGTCAACAGAAAAGATCAGAAATGACAGTATTAGCAGGATGTTAAAATGTTATTACAATTATGCTCTGTATGTTCAAAATGGTACAGGAAACACGATGAGAGAAAATAAATAAATAAATAAATTAATTAATTAAAAAAAAGGGGCAATCGATACACACAATAATGCTGACGGATCTCAAAAACATGTGAATTGAAATAACCAGACATAAAAGACAATGTCATATACATATCCATTTATATGAAATTCTTAAAAAGTCATGATCACAGTGGCAGAAAAACAAATTACTGTTTGCCAGGGAATGGGAAGGGGACCGACAGCAAAGGGGCACGGGGGACTTCTGAGGATGATGATGTACAGATGGCTAAAAAAAGTGTCCTTAAAAGTAGGATATTTTATACCTTAGCTGTGGCATGGTTACAAGAATGTATATATTTGTCAAAACTGTGCAGTTACTTAAAATTCGTGAGTTTTATTATCATATGTGAATAATCTCTCATTAAATTTGGTTTAAGAATTGAGTGACACACATGAATATACATTGATTTTTTTTCCCCTGTATCTAGTACATTTTTCTTATTACAAATAGACTAACCTCAATTAAGATTTTTTTTTTTTCATTCCACAAAAATGAAGACAAATTATCAAGAAAATAATTGTTAGAGAGATTTAGGCCAGGCGTGGTGGCGCACACCTGTAATCCCAACGGTTCGGGAGGGTGAGACAGGACAATCTCAAGTTCAAAGCCAGCCTTGGCAACAGAGAGGTGCTAAGCAACTCAGTGAGACCCTGTCTCTAAATAAAATACAAAATAAGGCTGGGGATATGGCTCAGTGGCCGAGTGCCCAAAGTTCAATCCCTGATCCCCGCCACCAATCCCTGCCAAAAAAAAAAAAAAAAAAAAAAAGATTTAGACCTTGACTTTTTCACTGATTGCTTTATTAATCTAAAGAAGATTTAAACAGAAGGAGGTAGGACTCTCATCCATTGTCATCTATTCTCTCATAAGAAAACATTTTTAATATAATATTCATATACAAACCTAAAAATACTGAGAACAGGTACTTAAAATCTCTAACCTGTAAATCCTTATGCTGCTGAGTAGTATTTCATGGTAAGGTATACCACAATTTTACTTATTCATTTATGTGTTGATGGACATCAGAGTTGAGATTATCAACCTTCATTTTGGAAGCTATAAAGTACACAGTAAAAAGAACTATCTCCTATTCTAGTTATTCCAAATAAGGGACATAAGAATTGCTACAATTACTAGTTAACAGTTCAGTTTCATTTGATCCTAACTGCTTAGGTAGGTGGCAAAAGAATGTACTATTTATACTTTATACATGAAGAAACAGGCTCAGATGTCAAATTACTTTCTCCAAGGCTTTTTATTCATCAAATGGCAGATCAAGTTATTTATTTATTTATTGTTGTAGATGGACACAATACCTTTGTTTTATTTTTATGTGGTGCTGAGGATCAAACCCAGTACTTCACCGGTGGCCAGACAAGTGCTCTACCACTGAGCCACAACCCCAGCCCTGAGATTTAGGTCTTTTGACTCTAGTCCAATGCTTCTTCCCCCATACCACACAAAGAAATTATCCATGTTTCAAATTTTAAAGCTTAATGCTTTACTGGGTAACAATATCCATAATTTACTTTGTAACTAGCATTTATGGGCAAATGCATGTGCTGAGGGTGAATGGGTAAAGGAGATGCAGGACAAAGGAAAAGCAGTTTTTCCAATAAATTCATCTTGAACAGCAAAACTAATAATCAGTGATGAGCAGAGGGATAAAGACTAGAAGAGTCAAGACTATCTAGAAAAGGAATTCTACTAATATTTGATGGAAATAATAAAAATGATACAGTGAATCACAGAAATGAAGTGTCAGATTATCCTTCAAACTATTAGACTAAACCATCACACTTTCAACAGTTAACTGGTTTTGAGCTTAAAAAAAAAAAAAAGGCAATTTGTATGGGTGTGTGTGGAGGATGGGTACTAGGAATTGAACCCAGGGTTCCTCTACCACTAATCTACATCCTCAACCCTTTTAATTTGGAGACAAGTGTCTCTCGCTAAATTGCTGAGGCTGACCTTAAACCTATGATCCTCCTGCCTCAGCTTCTTGAGTAGCTGGGATTACAGGCATGTGCCACCGTACACACCTACCCCAAATTGTCAATTTCTTATGGTTCAACTTAATAATTTCAAAGAGACTAACAGGAAAATAATGTAGTCAAATAAATGCAGGCAAATCAGCAGGCTGTGGTATGTACATATGTTACCCTTACTTTTTTTGTGTATGTGTGGTACTGGGGATTGAACCCAGGGTGCTCTATCATTGAGCTAAATCCCCAGTCTTTTTATTTTTTGTTTTGAGAGATGGTCTTAGTAAGTTGTCCAGTCCACATTACACTTGTGATCTACCTGCCTCAGCCTCCTGAGTGCCAGGGGTTGTATGTGTGTGTGCCAGAGGGCCTGGC